CAGATCCCTTATTAGACTCTCTTCCAGACAGGCACAGGAATTGCACGACCGGGCCAATGATTTTAGCGACAGGACGAATGCGTCGAGGGACTCACCATGCTGCTGTCTCCGCTTGTTGAAAATGTATCGCTCGTAAGTCTCGTTGGGTTCGCCAAGACAGTACTGCTCCAACTTCCTCATCACCACCTGCCAATGTCCAAGGTCCTCATCCGGACTGTAAGTGAATTCATTTATGACACGCAGAGCAGCCGAACCAATCGTGTGATAGAACAAAGCCAATTTTACGAGACTGGATTCGCGGTCCATTGCTGTCAGTGTACAAAAGACTCCATACTGTGTTCGCCACAGTCTCCAGTTATCAGCCAATCGCCCCGTTTCCTTCATTGTCAGGTACGCCGGCGGTTGGACCTGCAGTCGACTATTCAGTCTCTTCGGCTTCGGGAATTGCGCATCATTTTCCGCTGCCATCATGTCAAAAGTCGGTTCTTCAGGAAATGCTCTCGATATATTTTCTCCAGTCCACTGGAAATGATTCACATTTGAGAAGGAATCACAGTCATTTATATATAATTACGAGCCAATCAGATCGTTCGACGGGCAAAATTAAAGTCTTACACGGACCAATCAGAACACACAATTGATGCAGTAAACACAAACAATCATTTCACACAACACTTTCCAACACACGTTTTATTTCAAAATCTAGGACCGTTTATTATAGAACCCTTAATGCCAGCTTTTTCGGTGTTAAAATCATTTTGTTGAGGTAAGTCTCAAAATTCACAACCGTTGACCAATGCTCTCGTCCAGGCTGGACCAGCAACACGTCTATGGCGCCAGCGAATTTGTTTCCTCCATGCCGGAAAGTCCTCTGTAAAAATATTCCAACACCACTTCGCCAAATGGGGGTGTTTGTAACTTGCGTTTATAGTGGAATAATGGTACATCGGACTTAATACTAATAATACTAATATTAAATGGAAAAGGTGAAAGATTTTCATTTTAAAGTCCAGTTGTCAACCCTTTGACAAGACCATTACCACTTCCTAATAACGCCACATAAAGTGTCTTGATAATTCTTCCACGATACTGAACGTTCACCATGGTGATAAGAACTAAGCCGGTGGATTCGTTTTACCTAGTTGATGATCAATATCGCAACCCAATATATAGATGGAGAAACACGATACCGTTGTATTGTAGCGGTGTTTGTCTTGGGAACTGGTTCATTCTAATTGCTTGGTGGTTGATCGGATCTCCCGAGTGTAGACCGAACAATAAATGGCCTTGGACAGTTCTATGAACAGCCCTTGTGTTGTTCCGTTTCGGGGTATTCCCATTCAGCCACTTACGGAATGCAGGATATAAAGAAGACCGTAAAACCGGTCAGTTTAAGTACTGTCCAATAATAGCAGACGCAAACGTTATCTTAGTTAGAGGTACCGACGGAAAAATTGAGGCAAGCACCAGAGATACAGTCATAGTTCAGAAGATGCAACGAATTTTTTGCATGCGTTGGTTGTTCAAATTTCACCCAATCGTTGATTAAGCTCCCAGTGGGGGTTGTGCTTTCGTAATAAAGATTGGGCGCATCGTGAGTATTGAGGTAAGCAGTTTATAACAATGTTTTATAGCTGCTGATTTTGTCTGTTGTTATCTCCGAAGCTTAAGGCATAATAATGAGAATAATAATAAGAAATATTTGTTTGAAGCAATGATTTCCCCGAATAAATTTCAAAATAGCCAGTAGTCGTAAGCAAGATGTCTACTGCAGCAAATTCTTTTGAATATCATCAGTTCTTCAGGATTTCTCTCTTTCGCCTTTTCTATCAAACTTTGTTGTAGATTTGATTATGGAAGCAGCCTTATCGTCGTGCGAGAATAGGGGCATCGATTTACTCCCAGGAGGCAGACTGTCTGATCTAGAGTACGCAGACGACATTGAGCTGCTAAGCGAAAATGTATGTAAGTTGCAAGCTTTTCTGGGTAACTTGAATGCCAGCGTAGCCATATTCGGTATGTGTTTTGCACCTTCAATGTGTAAAATGTTCCTACAAGACTGGGTTGGTCCAGCACCCAGAGTCACTCTAACTGGGGAAGTAACAAAGCAGGCGTATAAGTTTTGTTATTTGGACAGCTACATCTCACCCATTGGACGCTTCACGGATGAAGTGTCTGCTCGCACACAGAAGGCTCAGTTGACATTTGCCAACTTGAGATATCTATGGCACTGTAGCCGTCGAGTTTATGCCGCGACAGTTTGTTTAGTCCTGCTATACGGTGCAAAAGTTGGATAAAGATAGACTGTCGGTGTTTTAACACAATGCAGCATTGCACGCATCTGGTGGGGTAGCCGGATGAACAATCTTGTGTTTAGGGGCAGAGTTTTGGGTAACCGCAGTTCGCCCACTGGAGCTAGTGGTCGACCTTGGTTGGGACATGTGTTGTGCATGTCACCAGATATTTACCACGCCGAGCGACGTTCACGGAAGCAGACACCGAGTGACAAAAAGCCAAGCGTGGTCAAGCTAAGACCTGGCACGAGGGTATGATAATCCTAGCAGGGAGACTGACTGAGTCACACAAGTCCTGTTAGACTCCCTGGCTGGGGACCTCGGGATGATCCTAACCGATGGTTAGATAGACCGAGTGATATGGCTGAGTGTCGCAAACAGTGGCGTTCGCGCATCTTCTCGATTTCTTTGCAACATTAGACCAATGAAATTCGCAATTTTCTGTTCATGATCCACTTTCAACTTTTCGTTCTTCTATTCGTCATCCAAATGGGCAGCCAAAAGACAGCAACCGAAACCGGCGCACGAATGAACGCGGTTGATGGTTGTACAAACTGAACCCATCAGTTACGCAACAGGAAGCGCTCGAAGCTCTATCACCAAACAAATAAAAGAGACTGGCCACCGAGTGAATCCAACGGACGCATCCAGAGTTGTCTACTGTCAAAAACGACTCTACCAGATAAAGTTCGCGGAAGCTGTAACCGTACGAAGAACGAACCCGATTCTATGCGCTCCGAAGGAGATGGTGGTCGGATTCGATTCACCGTGGAGTTAATCCGCCCCCGCCTCACCCTATCCTCTACCCATCACCGTATGGCTGTGACTTTCGTTCTCCTCTCCATGCCCTATACACTCAAACCATCCACTCACACCTGCCTCATTTTACACCTTTATTTAGATTATGACTTTTAACTATTGTTGTTGACAACCGTCAGTATTGTTCAATGGGTTTATCAACTTCCTGTCTTCACTTGTCCACGTGTCCTAACTTTCCCTCTCCGACTTGTATCTAGATAAACACACACACATTGACACGTCATCCTAACCGATTTGTTAACCGTTTCCATCCATCCCTATTCAGATTAAGATAAGTGTTGATAAACTATTCACACTGTTTTGTGAACACGTTGTATGTATCTCGCCTTTGAATCTATTTGTCACCATACTCGTAAACATATATAATGTCCATTTGTAATGTGCATGAAGTAACGGATGCCATGCACAGCGGCAGGCATCTTGCATTAAATTACTGTCCTTTTCAAACATAATTATTCTCTTGAGAAAATTAGCTTGTCTTAGCCACGACGAACGAAAAACCAAAACACAAGATGTTGGTGATAATGTGACAGCGTTCGGTAAGTCATAATGGTACCAACCGTATCCAAAGACCTTTTGTCCAGCCCGCTTTTATGGTCTACCCAAGATACACACCAAACATTCCTATTTGTCTTATTGTTAACTACATGAGTACCCGTAATTACAAGCTAGCAAAATTTATCCCATCCATTTTACGACCCCTCTTGAAGTGTGATGAGCATTTTATCAAGAATTCACCTCATTTAGTGAAGAAACTCGGAACACTGACTGTTGAACGTGATGAATGCTTAGTGAGTTACGATGTGGTATCCCTGTTCACACAAATGTCTGTCAACGAATGTCTGGACATAGTGAGAAGTCGTCTTAACAGCGATAATGCACTCAGTGATCGAACGAACTTGACAGCTGACGAAATAATGAGAGCAACTGAACTATGTCTGAAGTCAACACTATTTGTGTATAACCGTTCACTCCCCAAACAAACTGACGGTGTTGCCATGGGATCACCCAGTTCACCGACAATTGTGAACTTGTTTATGGAAGAGCTGGAAGAACGGCTACTGAATTCGACAACTTTGGTACCAAGAGTCTGGTGGCGCTATGTGGACAATACCTTGGACGGTGGTGGCCCGGTGGTAACGTCACCAATCATCACCCAGGAGGACGAGTGTTCGAATCCAACCAGCACCCCTTGGATTCCCCCATCTCTGTATTTTATGGCAGCCATTTGATTGGTCGCTTCCCTTCTCTTGAAAAATTGTATCTTTGAGAATTCAGAAAAAAAGAAGTTAAATGAAAAAGAAGAGAAAAATTAAAGTAAGTGCTTGTCGAACCATTCACGCAGTTTTTAAATGACTTTCACAACCAAGTCAAGTTCACACTGGAAACGTTTGACAACCCCTTTAATTTTCTTGATTAACGTGTATTGGGTTCGGGTAAAGTATCGGTGACGATACACAGGATAGGTACACATACACAACGATATCTCAATTTCCGTTCTGATAACTCGACCAACATCAAAATGTCAGTAGGACTTTGCCTTATTACTCGAGCTCGAAAACTATTAACCAACAAAAAGGATAAACGTCAAGAGATGAACCGGATTACTAGAGAACTAGAAGATGATGAATATCCGAAGGTGTTCACAGAAAAATTGAAACTTCGGAATACTAACCCACTACAGTTAACTACGCCAAAAAACGATTAGTTGTCAGCTGTTGTGATTCCATGTCGTGGAAACATGTTTGAAGACATACAACGGATAATTAACCGTGTCAACATGAGGGTTGCGCTTAAAAACACTAAAACAATTTACTCCAAACTGTAATTAACCTCAAAGACCCGCGTACAAAAGGAGACACTTCTGACGTAGTCTATGGAATATATTCTCTGGACTCTCCTGTTACGTATGTCGGCCAAACGTTCAGAAGCCCAGACAAACGAATGACTGAATGCATGAGCGTAACAAAAAAGATTCCAAAGGATGCAATAGGTTGGAATCGAGTGGAACACAATTTCGCAATCATCGTTCACGCAATGTGCGAAGGACTTACAGTTGATTTCAAAAACCAGCACATTCTAAAGCGTGGGTTCAAAAGTCGCAAGGAGCGTTTGGTAGCCGAAGAGCTTCTGAACAACGTTGAACCTACGGCAATCAATCGTTCCGATGGAGCAGCCATTCCACAGTCATGGCAGCAATTAACACTTGTGCATACAAACTAGTCTCGTCCCCATCCCCATTGCCAATTGACCAATTCACACGTTTTGACCAAATGTCAAACCAATTTCACTCGTCTCAAGCACCCATTAAAAGATCACCAACACACACACACAAACACGTACACATAAGTGCATGTTTGAATCACATCTGAGTTCTATACGGTCATCATCCCATCGCCTTTTATTTGCTAACGTGAGATTAATGGAATAAATTAGTTGAGAAAGGCCTTCCAAGAGGGTTGAAGCTTTGCCACCAACACCTTGTGTTTTGGTTTTTCGCTTTTCATGGCTAAGACAAGCTAATTTTCTCAACAATCATGAGCACGATGCCCAAGTTTTTCAGTGAGATCCGTTCCATCCATAGATCTTGTGTGAATAATTATTCTCTCTCAGAAGAGCTACGCTGATTTCGATTGCTCCGCTGCGTGGTTTGCTAATGTCAGCTGAGCATTCTGCTCCTTTGGTGTTTCAAGAGCACCATAATACGTATTGGAGATTCCGAAATTGACAATTCCAGGATATTCACAGCAGAAGTGTTAAGTCCACCTCCGCGGTTGGCAGGCTCCCTGAAATGGGTTTGGTCGATTTGGTGCCAATGATCTGCGGTAGTCATCGAAAATCTCCTCCTAGAGGAGGAGGATCGCAGCTCTCGGGATTTTGAGATTTTAGCCGGACATACCTTGGCGTTGGCGCAAGCCCCATTTCTCAACTGCAATAGGAAATCGGAACACCGGAGCCTAGTTTCCTTTCGAACTTCAAGATTATTGACCACTCATTCTATCCATCGATCATTTATTTGATTCCATCCTAATTTTGGTTGACGAGCAAGACCTATAAGTGTGAAGTGAGAACCGTTTTCAACGAATATGGTCTCGTATGTTCTGGACGTCCGAACAAATAATATGAACTTGTCAAGGATACCACATAAAAGAATTATTGACATATGTGATTGCATATAGCCACCTCGGAATGAAGGATGCGTCGGAAGACACATGAAATACGCAAAACCTGAACAGAATTCATCTGAAACTCCATGAGACAGTCATGTCTCGAGTGGACGCGTAATACAGAGAGGCAAAGAAATTCGAAATTTCCTGTTAACTTTAAAAGTTATATCCTAATCTCCAAGGAACACCCCGGAACGGCGAAGTTACGCCTTGTCAAAATTTACAATATCACTATTTGTAGTTCGACTACTTCAATCATTTAAGTAGTTTGCTT